GGAGGTCTGCCGGTAACCAGTAACGAACCACACTTCCTACTATATATACTTAATAAAAGGCGTATCGACAAAAACAAAAGATACCGGGATGATAATTTCCGACTTGTGAGCTGTCATCAGCCAGCCGTACTCAATTTGGGTTTCCTGAGATTCGAACTCGGGAGCTTTGGTGATTGAGTCGAACGCTCTACAACGGGGGTGATTGAACCTCGAGGCATAACGCCACGGGCATCTCCCGTAGGGCGTTCAATAAACGTAGTTCTAACAAAGTTACTTTACCCACCTGGCTCGATGTTTAGAGTGTTGGATTGAAAAACTGAAGATCCCCGGATTTTAATCCCAGATGATTCTAACCCGGAGTTGGATATAGCTGGCTGATGACAGGTATTAAACCAGAAATGGGCATTTCAGTCTTCGTCTTCTTTGTTAGAATTCGCTTCTGCGTATCGTTCTGGTCGCTACACGACTGTTTGTAAGTATTCTACTTCGATTAAAAAGAGAATGTCCCACAACCCGATCACTGGGTAACATTCTGTCATAATTAATATTACTAATCAAAACTACTAGGGCAACTGGCCGTTGCTCGATGGTACGGCGTTCAACTCAATGATCAGATCGGAAGCTTGGACTGGTTGACAACCAACCATCAAGCTCAAATCTGCAGCCGTCCGACTCGCCAACCCGCTTTTAATTCTGTTTTGTTTTTCTCACAGCTAATCGGTGTAGTCATCGAGAACACCAACGACACCGACCTCTATATCGATTTCGGTGGCAAGTTTCACGCCGTCTGCCCACAACCTCAAGGTCACTTTTACCCTCGAGGTAGCCTAGTCCGCATACGTCTGCGCGATCCCGAGATGGCCAATCGGTTCATGATCAACACAAAGGCCATCAGTCTGCATGAGGCCGATGCAGTTCTCCTGGGACCTTACCGTGGCCAGGTGGTTCCTCAGTCGGAGGCTTCATTAAATTCCGGTTTCATCCCCGTCACGGAGGAGTCGAGCTCCGGGTTCTTACCGGTTCGCGACAACCGAAATGTGGTCTCCTCAGAACACTGGAAAGTAGACTAGATATCTCCCCCCCACGTTATGCCCTTTCTACTTGACTTACCCGTGTTTTCCGGTGCCGCTGCTCCTACGATTGTATTAAAAATACACTCACATTTTACCATCTGCACTTTCGACTTCTGTAGTTTTGTGTCAGTATAATTGCTATTTTTTAAATGTGCATTTGAGTTTCCTTTTCCACTGCAACTCATCTCTTCTTGGGTGGAACCTGACCGTATCTTTTTCGTTTTTGAAAAACTCCGTATAGGATTTAGATGTAATCGTCCGTTCTGCCTTTTTCGATTCCTTAGAACGCAGAGCCCACTCTTTCCAAAGCCGAATAATTTCGAGATTTCATTATTTGCATATGATCCCAGCCAACACCACCGGAATGGGACCATAAAAGCTCGATTTTGAATAAGTCTACCGCTTGGCTGATGCTTCTGAGGTTTCTTTTGGGCAACGATTTGATTGCAAAATGAAGTCTTCAGGAGATACAGATTGGTGTTTCTACCAAACGATACAGCCACCAAATGCCCCGACACGGCAACAACAGTTGCCTCTCACGACCACAAAAACGAATGACCTTTACATCGTCGAACGTAATACTTTTGGCAACAATAGGACATTCCCCGAGCAGGTAGTATGTGGCGTTTGGTCTCTCTCCCTCGCGTTCACCCCTTACGGGATTCCGGAAGGAAATAAAACACATCGGTGTTGCGTCTGTTGTTCCTTATTTCTGTCTGCGTGACCGTAGCTTGCTAGACCAAGAACCCTCATGTGCTTTCGCACTTCAGCGTCTGTACAATCAGTTACGAGGTCGGTTTCTTGATTCATATTTTAGAGACGTTGGTTTTGAGCTTGCAAATGAACGGAAATTTTATAGGCCCACTGCACCATGAGGACTCATAGGCTAGTTTTATTGTCACCTTACTTGGGGTTCTGCTCAAGTCGTTGTAGCTGTTCGTGAAACTCGCTATTGTAGCTCCTATGCTGTTCTTCACTCGCTTATGCCCCCTTGCTTATGGATTGCAAAGCACCGCCAAGTCAAGCAGTATCGGGAGGAATGCTGTCTGTTGTAGCCATGTCATGCGAGGTATGTGGTTTGTTAGCTGCAATCTGCACTTCTATCCCGAGATCTTGTTGGTGATCTGTGTTATACAACCGAAGGTTGTGAGTGAATCCCCTGCGGAGTTCCATCAGTTAGGCGGAATTTTGCTCAGACTCCCCAGGTAGGGTTAAAAATCTCGGGCTCTTCGTGGATTTTTCAAGAACTGATTTAAACAAGTTACAACACCGTGGGGAAAAACGTTTAGGACAAAAAGGTGGGCAGGGAAATTTGTAAATCAGCAGCCTATATACGGCGGTTAAAACATGAACTATGTGAACAATTGGCACACGTAGCGAAACCAACGTTGCCTTGGTAACATCTGGCTCCCCCATTTACACACTGCTGCCCACATTTTTGTCTGAGTTCAGACTGCCGCCCTAAATACGATTTTCACTGTTCGTTTAATGTCCTCGTCCGTACTGTTCCTTCACACTCTTAATTTTGGATAATTTGTTTACCTGAACGGAGTTGCAATATTAATTATCCCACAAAAAATGCTTATTTTTCCTGGTAAGGTATACCGCATAGTCCACATTTCCTACAAAATGTCACGACCCCCCTGATTTCTTAATAGCGTATATAAACAGAAAATGCATCGTACACATAAACTATACACCTTATCGTTTCGCAACCCCATATTCAGGTGTAATAATATGCTGAGCTCAAAAGAACTCACCATTGTGGCATTTATTAAGCGGAGGGATACTCCTTTTTCAAGTGTAACATATAAAGAGGATGTGAATGGTTACCAAATGACTACAGGAAACAATCTTTATGCATATTCTAATCAAAATATATTTGAAAATCATCCAAGACACTGCATGGTACTTAAGTCACTATGTTTACCGTTGCCGGCCTCCTAAAGTGAAATAACATTTTGCGGTTGTGCTGCATGATAATGCTTAGTAGACCCCGCTTAAGTACTCCTTTTTAATCGAAAAAACTTCAGAA